CCCAGGCTGTAGGTGGACACAGCAAGTGGCTGTCTTGGGACTTGGTTCCTTGGTAACAGCGGTGCCTTGGGCCTGGCACCTGGGAGCCATGTGCCCAGAGCCCCGCCCCCGCCGCCCCGTGCGCACCTTCTCACACCGACCAGGGCGAGGATGGTCCTTGCTCAGGAGCGGGCACGAGACCCAACCAGAGCCCAGTCCACGCCTGTCACTTCTGGAGCCGGGCCAGGCCTGGGTGTGGGCCAGGGCGCTTTCCTCACCTGTGTTCACGTCTGCCCCCCACGTGGGAGCTGAGGCCGGAAGAGCTCAGGCCAGTGGGCCAGGCCAGGGAGGCAGCTGCTTCCTGGTGGCACCAAGTGGCAAGGCTGCCTCGGCCACAGCAGCCCAGCGGGGCCGTGCCCACTCGTTCACGTCCAGGAGGTGGTCAGCCGGCCTCTGAGCCAGGCCTGTCTGCACGGCCTGCGTGGGCTTTCTGTTCCCTCGGGCGGGACGTGGAGGCGAGTTGTGGGGTCAGGGGAGGTGCCAACCTCTGGGCCTGCATTTCAGGTTCCAGTGTGTGTTCCCGCTGCTGCCACGGTGCCTCCGCCCAGACGTCGCCCTGCCCAGCGTGCTGCTGGCGGTGGAGCTCCTGGCCCTCCTGGCAGACCACCAGGCGCTGGCACCTCAGCTCTGCTCCCACTCGGGTAAGGGGCAGAGGGGGGCACAAGGACAGGCTGGGCTCCGAGGGCTCCTGCACTCGTGGGGGACTCTGAGCGAGAGGTGACACCTTTCCAGAAGGGTGCCTCCTACTGCTGCTGTACATGTACATCACCTCCAGGCCCGATGGCACGGCCACGGACACACAGTGGCTCCACCTGGAGCAAGAGGTAACGCCACCCCCTCCCTGCGAGCCTCGCCCCCTCCATCCGCTGGGGGAGACAGTTAACTTGGTAGCAGGTTGATGTGGACACAAACAGGGTAGATGACCACACAGATGCGAGGGGGTGGAGCTGGGGGGCCTGGGACTGGGCGGAGTTGCCCGATGACTGACCCTGCCTGGCTGGGGTGGGGCTGGAGGCCTGCGGGTCGGTGGTGGGACACAGGTGCTGGTCCTGAGCTGGTCTGGGGAGACCACACCCCACTGCGTCCTGGACCCCATTCCTGCAGGCGAGCTGTTGGCTCTGAGGCCGGAGAGGCCTCGCTGAGCCCAGGTCTCGTCCGGACGTCTGCTCTCGCTCTAGGCCGTGTGGCTCCTGGCCAAGCTGGGCGTGCAGAGCCCCTTGTCCCCAGTCACTGGCTCCAGCTGCCAGTGCAACACGGAGGTGAGAGCCCAGGCGCGAGACGGGTCTGTGGGTGGGCGAGCAGCATGTACCAGGGCCCCTTCCTGCCTCACCCTAGTGCCACCACTCGGGGCTGAGCAGGCTGTTGGGGTGCAGGAGCCACAAGACCTGACAGCGGCCTGCACCCCAGGTGGTCCGGGTGCTCACGGTGGTGCTGCACAGACAGTGGCTGACGGTGCGGAGGGCCCGGGGCGCCCCGCGGACGGCACAACAGAGGCGCACGGTGCGGTGTCTGCGGGACGGGGCGCTGCTGCTGCACAGCCTGTCCCAGAAGGACAAGCTCTTCGCCGTGCACTGCGTGGGGGTCCTACACC